TTTTATTTGTGTTTATTGTGCATGCATGTTCTTGATTTTGTCTATTTCAGTCCAAAAATAAAAAAAATGTTTTGATTTGGTTTATCTCTTTTTTTAAGTTTGCTTATTAAGACTCAAACATAAATGTAATAAATAAGTTGAATCAAAACCCCTAATATTAAAGTATGCAACCGTGTTTAAATGGAGGATTGTGAGGTGCGCATATGCCTTCCTCATTGCTAACCGAACCCCGATCTCTGCGCAAACTCGTTTTAGATGATTTGTCCCACCTTATAATTTGAACGAGTGGCGACTCCCTTTTTCTTATATATTTCACACTCGATTTTTCATTATTTTGAAAAAAATCTCAAGTGGTCGTCAACAATTCTCTATAAAAGTTCTTCAGCATTAAGAGTTATAATAAAATGTGTTTTTAAAATAATAACTTAAATGATTTAAAACTTAATATTTCAATTTAAAAAAATTTAAATTTAAATCCTGAGTTGATTTGAAAGAGATTTTCAAAAAAGAGGTGGCCGAATTAATTGTGCCAAAAAAATAAAAAAATATACTAATCTTGCCCTTGCTATTTTATTAAGGATCTGAGGTAAGTAAATATCAAAATATCTCAAAAAAAATTTCCTAAATCTCAAGTACAGGCCACATGGTGAGATGACAGATGACTCAAGCCTAAAATCTCCCTCTTTACTGCTGAATGAGAATAGCATGGATCACAATTGCGGTATTGGTGTCAATCAGATTAAGTAATTAATACTATTGTCCATCAAGCCAGCAGCGAGGAATGTTTCGACTCTTCTATTTAATTTTTAATTTTTTAAAAAAATTTCTAATATCATTTCTTTATATTGTTCAATTATTTTATGAGTTTGTAAGATTCCCAGTCCAGCCTGTTCCAATACCCATATTTTAAAAGACCAACCCAACAAAACTGGAACGGGAGTAATGGTGAATGACAAATTTAGTATAGTATATAACAATAACAATACAAAGAAACCTAATAATGATCTAAATCAAGCATATCATGTGGAGAATAATTTGGAAGATTTTGCCATCCAGGAACATATTACAAGCATGTGGCCTTGAAGTTGAGCAAGAATGTGGTATATGTGCAGCAGCAAGTGAGTCTTATTTTCATTTATTCTTTGGTTGAACTTGGAGCAAGGATGTATAGAAAGAAGTTCTTCCAACAGTATCTTTAAATTCTATTCAGCATGATTCCTTTATAGATGATTTTTTAAAATTTTTCCTAACCTTGAGTCAAGAAAATAAAGAGACTGTTACTGTGATTCTTTGGTTCATATGGAATAAATGTACATATTACCGTACATGTTTCCCCCATAATAAGAGTGCTCAAGTCATCAAGTATTATTTAGAGGAGTACATAGAGGCTATAGAGAAAGCTGAAGATGATAATGAGGAGATAGCACCTCAATTGGCCATTGTAGAAACAATTTGGACACCACCACCAGCCGGTATTACTAAAATTAATGTAGATGCCGGAGTCCAAAATTAGTTGGGCACTACTAGCGTTGGGGTATTTTTGAGAGACAACAACAATATTGTTTTGGGTGTAAGCAAGCAGACTTTTTGGTTCCAAGGAAGTGTTACTCATGTAGAAGTTTTTCAATCCATTTTGGTGTGCAATTAGGAAAAGAATTTGGTTGCAAAGATATCATTGTGGAGTTTGATGGTTTGGGTGCAATGCAAGTGGCAACATCATTAGAAGATTTTTATCTACCATATGGGGTTGTTGTTGAAGATATGAGAGAAAAGTCTAGCTTATTTAATTTTTGTTCCTTTAAATATATTCATAGGAATCTTAGTGAAGTAGCCCTAGGATAGCACAAATGCCATTGCCATCCTCTCCATGGGAGGGGATTGATAATTTTTCTTAAGTAATACTCCTTATATTTTCTGTAAAAAAAAATAATGATCTAAATAGTTTAGTGGTAATTTATTGTTATTCTTCTCTATTTCATGTCATGATTGTGTGCTTTATTCACAAAATCAATAAAAATAATAATCAGTAAACTTATTGAGAAAATATTAATAAAAAAATATCTTCAAAATATGCATAAGAAATTTACTTCCTTTAAAGTGATAGTATGTCACTTTTATAATACTACGATTTTATAATAATACTCTATGAATTTACATTACTTGTAGAGTTACAGAATTTAATATATCTTCTTTTGCCCAAAAGTATTTAGAAAATAGAGTAAGACCAAAAAGTTGAATATGGAGGAACTTCTTTTCTTGAGCAAAACATGTTTTATTTACAGGACTTTTGGTCTTGAAACATTCATCTATAAATTAAATGTGAAAATAAATTGGACAATTATTATAAAATAATATGCTCTTAAATAGGACAATTAATCCAAAAACAACTCATTTGACCAAGTCTTTAATCAAACAATAAATTTTGATTTATAAAATATAATATTTCTATTTTTTATTAAAATATCAAAGCTACAATAATTCCTCACTATTTTAATGAAAAATAAACACTTTCTTTTGAGTAAACATAGATTATTATCCATAATAAAGATAACTAAGTTTTGAAATCCATAATAAAGATAACTAAGTTTTGAACCTTTACTTTGTGACTCAGCAAATTTTATTCCAAAGTCAATAGTAAACTAAGTCTTAAACTATAACTATAAGAAGATATAAGAACCACATCACACACATTATGATCAAAGTGTTGGGCTTTTCACATGGTTGGCATATTATGGCCTTGCACATGATTCTGATTTTCATGGTATGGTCTCCAAAATTGCTCTTTTC